TGTAAGACCAAACACAAAATACATAGCTACCTTCATACCAACAGTTCTGTGCTCTTTTATACAGGATTTGTTCATGTCCTCAAAGCAGTATTCTACTGTGTCAATCTCCGATAATGTTGAATTCATAATGCTGAGATTCACAAAATGAGGCTGATAGAAACAGAAGCCACGTGTTTCAATGAAACCTATTTTAAATTACTTCTGTAAGGAAGAAAGAGAATCATATTAAACATTTGCCATATATTTGGATGTTTACTTGAAATCATATGGGATTATTAAAAATATATTTCCTTTTGCCTGCATGTATTGTTGAAACAAAACAAATCTTAATATAGTGAAAAATGCTCTATTGGGTGTCTTAAATTCCCTAAACAATGTGAAATACGAGAGTGCCGGAGAAGTTTTATTGGGATAAATGATAAATCTTATTGTACACACTTTTTAAAACGTTTCAAAGGAATATATTGTGTTTCACATCTTTTAGTGATGTTAAAATTCAAAATTCTGAAGTATAATCTACATTATTACGTAACGTTGTCTTTCATGAAATGTTTAAAATGTGTTTGTTTAAATGATTTAAGCTAGGAATCTATAACTCTCATTCATCATACTCTAAATACTATAAACTATAAATCATTTGTTTGAAACAGAATCCCATTTGAAGTACAATATCAATAAATTGCTTTTGAAATGCACTGCATGTTTACAGAGGGAATACAACTTGTTATATTCATGTAAAAAACTCAAATGACCATTTCAATACTGCCTTCATCAGAAATCAGGTTAACATTCAGGATTTCACATTTATTGACTGAAAGCTTTATATGAATAACAAAATACTCCTCTTGCCTGATAGGCTAACAGTACAGAAGATTCAGAGTAAAAACAGCCCATTGATATTTACCTATTAACCTATGTTTATTATTGAATGTGTATATATAATTAATTGAGGTAACAATTACACATTAATATATTATAAAATCAAACACAATGATTTGTGAAATCATAAAACAATACTTACTATTTAACAGGCTCCTCATAAAGACATCTTGCAGAAAATTTGTTTTCTCTTTCTTTGTTGATTCTTGTT